GATTTTCATGATGATTCTGCTCAAGACTTAAGGGTATTTCTCTTTAGAATTTTTTTTTGCATGTGTAGATTACACCTGTACCACTACCCTCGCCTTCCATAGATATCCCAAACATTACCTGTTGACATAATTGAGTGGTAAGAAGATTCATTTGTTGGAGTTAAAATATTTAGAAGATAAAATTGAACCAAAATCATTAAAATATTATATTTTATTCTCGGGCGAGGGAGTATGAGTGACAGGACGTATCCACATTAATTATGAAACATCCTGAAACGCCTCTGACAGTGTTAATTAGCGGCAGCTGAGTGATGACATTTCACAAAGAAAAAAGCAACGGAATGAGCAAGGATAATTTAATTTTTGAAATGTCAACATATACTTGGTTCGGCAAAACCACTTAACCATTTGTCGAGTTCATCTACAGCCCCTGTGTCAATTGACTGTTGGATGAGTTTCCCCCCCTCCCATGCCGAGTGGGTCATGGGGGTTATTTGACCGTGCCGGTCAATGCCAATGCAGGTTTGGTGAAGGCAGGATGCATAGGCGTATAGTATAACAATGGATTTCCCTTCACTCGCCTCTGCTGACCAACACGTAATAGCCCAGAAGCCACCTTTGACAATCTGCTGTACGTCGTGGCCGCCCATCCAAGCACTATACATTCCAAATCATACTCTTTGGTTCTTTCGGTAAAGTCACGTAGGTATAAAATAAAATAAATCTCGACGTTTTGGGCGCAACACAAGCGTCCGTCCTGCTTAACTTAGCTTCCGAGATGTGACGAGTTCGGATGCATTCCGGGTGATTTGGTGAAGGCACATCTATATATATCTCAATATATACAAGGGAAATTTGTGAATGTGTCTGTTCAAAATGTTTAGCGTACTTCCCGACATGCAACAAACTTGAAATTTGCCATGTGGGTACCTTCCAGACTGTACACCATGCAAAAATTATAAAAATACTCTTGTATATATTTTTTTTGGGGGGGGGGGCTCAAGAATTCATTTTTATGCACGGCAAGTGAGCTGTGACATCTGTCATTTGACCCGTGTGGGGAAGTGTAACGCATTGTGCCTGCTGATGTCACGCATCCCCCCCCCCCAACCCTCCGCGGTTAGAGTGCCATACAAATGTGTTGCAGGTCTAAGGCGTTCTTCGTGCAGCATTGCTTTATTATTTCAGTCGTTTAATGCCGTACGCACCCTCAAAGTTGTGTGTGTCTGCAGCAAGCGCGTGTATGTGTGGGGGGAGCGGTAGTGTAGTGGTTAGCGCGCTACGCTACGAACCAGGCGACCCGAGTTCGATACCCGCTTACGGCCACCACCGGTGACGATTATTTGAACCGGTCCTGGGTCTCCCCTAGGTCGACTCAGCCTCAAACGAGTAATTGGTGTGGTGTGTGAACATCGCCACTGGGGAGACAAAAGCGGCCGGGCGTGATGAATTCAAGTCCCGGGCGAAGCCGGGTAGTTAAAGCTAGTAAGCATATAAAGTAAAAGCAATTTCCTGCTCAAATGAGCATAGCGAGATTGGTGCTCATCTCTTGTTTACACCCCAGAGGCAGTGGTGGAAATTTCGCAATTTCAACAAAGGTGGCGAGTCTATCCATAGCACAGCCACTGTTGACTTCCCCACTAAGCGTTAATCATTGTATCAATCCTGGAGAGATATTGGGCCAAGTCAAACCCCAAACCAAACAGTATTTTAACTCTCAAATTCCCGATTGCAAGTTGCTCGCTCCACAGCTAAGCCACCAGCGCTTACACATATATTCATGTCGGTTGAAAAAACTGAAATTACTTAAAATGTTCCAGCCCTCCGAAAGACTAACAAAACTATGAAACGTTTATCGCCGAGATGCCTCCGTGGGAGACTGCAGGTCAGCGTCGTCTGCAGCCACGCGACAAGCAAGGCAACAGAAGGATCGAATTCTTCCCAGAAAAGGGTGGTGCTATGGCAATTATGGAAGTCTTGTTTAACGTAAGGCTACTCTGTACACGGAAACTATTTTAGAAACCATTAAGTGGGTACTTGGACGTCCAGTAAACAGCCTGCGTCTTCTCCTGACGCAAGTAGGAAGTGTCCGGTAAACAACGTCTCATTGTGGCACTGGGTATGATACATTTCGTGGTTTGGATTTGGGCCCACGCCGCAACATTCCAAAGTTACAAGCGCAGACTCTGAGGTTGCAGGCGGTAATGTTCAAAATCGACAGATGCACCACATGCAAACTTTCAAACGGTGTCCGACATAAATGGCACCAGCACCAAGGACCTGGCAAGCGGCTGAAACTTGATTTTAAAAATCCATTTTGGATACTTTCATAAGTGCAACACTTATTTAACGAGCTCGTGTTTGTTGTGGGAAGGTGTGCATGCCCTTTAGTGGCAGTGTTAAGTGCTGAATATTTATTTTACAAAGACAAAACAAATATGCAACATGGCTAAAAAACATGATAGTGGTTAATGATTTGAACAGAAATCCTCGCCCCTCATTAAATGGAAAAGCCTATGGCGCAAACCGACAGAATGTCCTGGCTGGTGCTGATTAAATGGTTAAAATGTAACCAATTTGGCAGCGTCGCAGTCTGAGGATATCTGCATCTATATCCCTTTTTTAAAGCGTGCTCCCATAACTAAGTACAATGTTTATTGATATTTATTTTTCTATTGTGACATTCCATTCATTCTTCGTATATATTTTTTATTCATGAATTTCTATCGTTCTGAAAACTCTTTTCTCTTTTGATTTAGCCCGTGTGTCTACTACCGTGTTATCTACATTGAGATACAACTGTTTGCCAAGTAAGGCTTGTTCCTTGCACAATAACTTACATATTGCCCCCAATTAGTTTGACAACAGCACACAATCTATTACCTATGGCAGAGGGTATTAGATGAAAATATGGAAATGAGAGCTGTGGTTTTTTTTTTACATTTACTACGTTCATAGCTAAGTCTTAAGCAAAGCATTGCAAGGAAACGATCAGATTGCTATGTCTTATTGGGTCGACATGCTGTTGTATGTTTACTCTAAAACAATTCCACTGCACAGTTCATAAACACTGTTTGCCTGTCTTCTGCAAGATTTTCCTGTAGATTTTCACGAATTAAAATACACATTCTCCACTAGAGGGTGGGACAGATCCTTTTTGTTGTAATTAAATTATTCAGTTTCGATCATCACCACTGAGACACCACCATCTTCTTCACAGGAGTCTTTTGGAGAATGATGCAGCCACCGTGACAGGAATTTTTCACAAACTAAACCACTAGCCTTGTGCCAGCCTCCTCAGTTGTATAATAGTTTTTTTTTTACACAATTGCTGAGCACGGGCCCAAAGGCCCACATTGTCAAACAACCAGCAACAATTAGCATACTGTCAAAGTAAGTCAGACTTGTGCGATATTCGTGAAGGACCCTGTACTCGTTCTCTGTAGTATTGACGTGTTGGCTTTGTCGTTGTTGTACTCACCCACCACGGATTTACCTCGTGAAATAGCCGGGCGGAATGGTTAAATGGGACCGTCCGTGTAACAAAAAAAAAAACATATATACAAACATAAGCAATGGATAAGAGTTAACACGTTTCTTGAATTGAGCGAGGTTATTTTTTCTTGGGAGAGACGATGGGGAGGAATTCCAAAGTTCTGTTTCTTTCGAGGAAAAAAAAGCAGCAAGAGAGGTCTGCTTTGACGTGCGCGGTATGGTGGTTGGCCGAGTCCTCAACACGGGCCGAGGAATCATTGAGTGAAGCTCACGGGAACGTTTTTAACGATGCCAGTAGCGATAGAAGAGGGACAAGGGAGCAGCTGACTGCCGGTGATCGAGCAACTGGAGTGAATTAGCGAGTGCTGAGTCATCAAATCAATGAACTAGCTCTCGCTGAACTCTCGATGAGCTTCACATTTCAAACGAATGACCTTATTGAGTGAACTCTTGAGTTGTTTGCCCACCAAACGCTGGCAGGAATGTTACATTTGAAGAACAGATGGTTTATCAAGAAAACGTCCCACGTACAGAACGGCAGTAAACCACTCCATAAAACAAGCCGTAAATGTTCACAGCCTCACAACGCAGTTGGCATGCCAACACATCTCGCACTATACACTCCGTGTAATAATCAGAGGATTATGATTTTATGAAGAAAAGCTGTTTAAATTCTTACGACGCCAATCAGATTTGAACCCTTTTTGTTACACATCGCAACGTTGTATAATTTGTGAGAATGCAGAACAAATACGTTAATTTTGCAAGAGGGAAGTTGTTGCTCTGTAGTCCCAACCGGCACAAACCGGTTATAGCTGTCATGAGTGCCACATCAGCTTGCAGTATACACTTCATTGGCATCAAATTATCGGACTTATTTTATAAACAGATAAAAATACGCTCAACACACTCGTTATTTTATTAACGAGTGAAAGCCATGTAAGGTAAAGAGACGATTATATATATTTTTCGACGCTCACAATGAGGGGTGTACACAGAATATTCGGTGAAAAAGCCAACATTTTTTTTAATGGTTTCCATAGAAAAGTGCTCAAGAAAAGTGCCATTTCATATAAACGCCAAAACATTGTCTGCCCCCCACAACCCTAGACAATGCAATAGTTTAAGGGCCTCTTGGCCCCTCTAAAGTAAACACGTGTGAACAATGTCATGGGCGAGGTGCTGGAGCCAGCCTGGCGCGCTGCAGGTTATATGAAAACGGCCGAGTGTGCATCCCAGGGGATTCCGAACAATGCACTCGAGAGGCCCTTGTCTCTCGAGTCGGTGTTCACAGACGCCAGTCGCCGGCTAGCAACAAGCCATCAACAGAACAAAAAAAGGGACAAACAAGGGCAGGACAGTCTGTGGCGAGGCAAGGGGGAGGGGATGGGGTGGTAGGGGAGGGGATGGGATGGGTGTTGGTGGTGGTCGGCATACACCCTGCACCTCTTCCTGTCTCCGTGGGCTTGCTCACCCGCACTGCGCTGGTTCAAACCAGTACGCGCCGGCATCTGCCCTAAATCCTATAAAGCCCAACGCCCCCCCCCACCCATCCCCGTGATAAACCAACACTAGCCGTGTCATCCGCCCTGCGTGGGTGGCACAATGCCAAGGCCAACAACAAAGGACACACACACACCACACCGCACACACAGGGACGTCGGTGGCTTACGATTCGCCACGTTCAGCAGAAAAGCCCTCCCCGACTGTGAAATATTCAAACCGTAAGGTGAAGTTTGCGTGGCACTCGTGGAGTTTGCTACATTGTGCTGGGGTTTGTTTTCTTGCTGTTTTTACAGGATCTGCACTCGTTTTGAGATAGCTGTTCTTGGGGAAATCCACGTCTTCCTGGAACATTAAACATTACAATCCGTTCATAATATTCATAATAATGGGTTTTTTTTGGGGGGGTTAGATTGCGTCAGTATAAATGTGTCGTTAACCCGCCACCACCCGACAGGCAATTGGTGAGGTTTGTCACGTGAACAAAACGTGCCAATTCGTTACTACTTGCCAGAATTGGTCGCAAAGGCCGACGTGTTAAACATTACAATCGCCTTTCTGGGTCAGTTGCGTGTAGTTGTACCTCTTTCCCATACGTCCCATCATTCTGGTTGTACGTCTGAGGTGGCAACCGTACGTGGCGCAGACGACGCAAGGGGTTAGAGTTGGGGTGGCACAAGAAGGCAATGCCGTCTCTAAGGCCCCATGTGGTGTAATAATACATTCTCTCCCATTCTTGTTGCCCTTTTAGCCCATCTGGAGGCGTTTGGAGTACAGTGGCGAGAGACCACGAATCCATGAATTTTACAAAACGTGCACAAAGATCACTCGCGAAAGAGGTGTACTTCAAAATCGTTCATCCATGCAAATGTGTTCGGCAGAAAGACGTCGACGCTATTTAAAGAGGTGAAACAGTGCTGAGGTGACGCATATGAATTATGTACTGTCCAAACTAATTTTGTATGAGATGTAACCCAAGTCTCGTGTTCAGGACTATATGTGCCCTCCTCTGCCCTCCTCCCCTTCAGTTTAAAATTATGCCATCAAACACAGCTGCCTTCCAAATGTGAATCTTTTTTTTAAACCCAGAAAGCAAAGTATAAAATACATTTTAAAAAATAAATCACGTAACACTAATCCTCCCCAAGCTCTTTAAACCCCCTCCCCCATTAACCCCCACAAATATTAGATTATATATGTAATATGGTAATATATATGGCCAACTTATTATTACATCAAGGTCTACAGACGGTGGTATTTAATTTCAGCATCAGCTGCCACGTTGACAGTCTCGAGGAACCAGCAGGGGACATAAAGTGGTGACGGAAGGGGCAGAAGGAGGTTGCGTAATGCGTCACTCCGGCTCCGTGCGTACTGAGTTGTACAACTGGTTACAAACCACGGCAAAAAAAAAACACGACGGTGAAAGAGCGAGGCTGCAATAACTTCCTTTTCAACAAGAGGGGGGGAAAAATCCCCTTCAAATACTGCACAGGTATCTGTGTACCACAAATGAATATCGATCAGCGCACCGGCCGTCCGGCTATCGTTCGCTCTTTGGCCTGACATTCCGTCTCTACGCGTTATGAAGGGCCATTTACCGAACCGTCGCCTATTATTTATATTTCGTTTTAGGATAGTTATTGAAAAATGTGCGGAAATGTTGGTTTCAACTGTTAAAGCCGTATATGTATGAAAACCAAATATTTCCTGGAGGGCACATGAATGAAGTTGCAGCATCTAATTGCCGCTTCACTAAATACAGAGGCCCCATTTGCCATAAGTGCAGAATCGCCTTTCACCAGAGATAAAATCATCCTTCACAAACCTGCACTGACCAGCGTGGTGAAGTATGGTCAAACAACCCCCGCCCACCCCATGACCGACCGAAAAGACATAGACCCAGTACACATTGAGCCCAACGTTGGGTCGAAATGGTCCCATACCTGTCAACCCCTTATCACAGACCAATTCAGATCTTTTTGATCACCCCGTGCCCTTATAAATCGCAACGTTCATCCTACAAAGTCCCATCACAAGGGAGAACCACAAACAAATCGGTTATTTTGTTGTTGTTGCCCGTATTGAAATGATTTACTCCGTATGGACCCGATAACTCAATTTATCTGTACAAGTATACGGGGTAAACCGTATGGGTTGACAACTACGTGATCCAATGATTCCAACACGTGCCAACGTTGGCTCGACGCTGCATGTTTACTGGGGAGGCAGTCCTTCATCCAGCGGCGGATTGAACAGGTGCTCTAAACATGAGCTATTATTTTACTTACGTGGCCATTTATTACATCTTGAACTGTGCAATCACGAGCACATTTCACAATATTTTGCACGATGTTGACCTTTTTTTACCTCGTTCATAACGTTAGAGAAATAATAACCAGCAAGGCTCCTCTCGGGGTTTATAGCAAATAGACACGAGGCGTGTCTTTGTCAGCCGCTGGTGCTGCTGTGAATGGTGTGTGCGTGTACAGTTGTTAATCCAGCGTTTTAATCTCTGTGGTTTTACACGCGGGGCGGCTCTCTTGCTGTGCTAGCGTTGGGCGGCTCTGGCCGATGAGTAATAGCTTGTCACTGCTAACATAATTCTTCGAGGTCTGAGATGGGGTAATGCAACGCACTGGGGTGTAGGATGTGTGATAAATTTATAGATACCCCAACGATTTCTGATAACGCTTTATTTTCAACAGGTGATGAATATATTACAAAGAAATGTGTAAAAATGATAAACACACACTTTGAGATTGACGTGCCGAGGCTTTTAAACAAAACGTAAATATATTTTGTATCACTTTTACATATATCTACACACAACAAATACAATCAACATATTCGACAACACTGCCCAAGCTCACTTACTTTTACTAACAGTCAAATACGATGTCTGTTAATCGCAGCCACTCTCGACGGCTACGCGTGCACCACAACGACCCCAACGTGAATCTACCCTTGAGTTGAATCACCACCACCCCCCCCCATCCCCGAAGCGGCCAATTCATTCAATCCCCAAGGAGGTGAGTCATCACATTCAAAACATTCACAATGATTTAGTACGGTGAGTACGGGACTGGAATAATGTATTTAAATTGTCTACACTACATACTCTCTAGACTGCAACCCTTCAGCGCAGTGTAGAATTCAGTTACTCTTTCTGAGATGTGTAACCACAGTATTCGACTTCCTATTTGTATCTGCCACCTTTTTGTGAATCCACTTGCTGGATGAAGGCCCCGCTCCCATGCTGTACGGGTCGTGGGGGTTATATCACCACACTTGTCACTGCAGGTTGGAGAAGACGGGGAGCATAGATGTGGGAGTATAGTGCACTACAACAGTGGATTTTGCTGCAACGTCTCCATGCTAACAACACAGCAACCTATAACACCTTGACTTAAAGCTTTGGTGACTGCGGGAATGCATATTCTTTGGGTCTTTCAGTGAAGTCACGTCGATAGGTTCAAAGAAAATAATACATTTTTTTGTTATTTTCTTTGAACCTATCTACGTGACTTTACCGAAAGACCCAAAGAATACCTATAACACCTGTTTTCGCATAGTGGTCGCTCATCCAAGCACTATTCAGGCTCAAACATGCTTAACTTCTGAGGCCTTAAAAGATCAGGTGCATTCTGGATAATTTGGTCATGTGAGCTTTATATACAATCTTATAATTACTTTGATTATAATTGTTTTACGTATCCAACATTTGACTGCCTTGTCTGCATGAGTGGATCCGATTTACAATGATATATACATCATTGTAATACCGATCTCATTTACACTGACTTCTGCTGCCGTCACATCTTGCAATGCCATACGAATTATGTTCAGGGCTAGCTTGGCCCTGATCTCTGAGAGAATGAGACTGCTCCGTACTGAACTAGATCATGTGGACAAGACACTCTTGAAATCACACTTAACATTGACAGAAAAAATGTCTATATCTGATTGGGAACAAGTAGATAACATGACTGTTTCATCAGCTGCTACAATGTCAGCTAAATGTAAAGATAACCTGATTTCCAAGTTCAACGTCATTTCCAAGAAGAAACCAGATCCACATAAAAAAGTTAGACGTTGAAAAGGTTGTTATTAATCTGAGTAATATCCCAATGTTCGATGGTCTAAAGTCGGTTTTGGCTAAAGGGTTGAACTTCGCAGTCACCCCCAAACACATACCAGTGGATGGCATTATTGCCCAGGTCGATGTAGCTCTTAAGGGTTTGGGACACATCGCTGCAGATGTGACAAGATCTGAAATCGCTGCAATCCTCAAAAGCGCTAAGATACCAGTCAGCAACATCAGTAAGGATGAACGTTTTGAGTTATCTCAATTGAAAAAGAGGGATGATATCGTCATCCTCTCAGCCGACAACGGCAATGCCACGGTCATCATGGACAAAACCATGTACAATAACAAAATTCAGGACCTACGTAATGATGGTAGCTACACAAAAATTTAAAGAGATCCCACCAACAGCCTCGTTACAAAAACGAAGAGTATCATCACTGATTCAGCTTCATTAATTTAACTGACCAAACGGTTTTCCTTAAAACCTTCTGCTGCTGGACCACCTAGATTATATGGCTTACCAAAAATCCATGAAGAAGGTACACCCCTTCGTCCAATTGTCTCCACCATTGGCTCACCCACATCCAAAACAGGCCCAATATCTGTCTGAGACCTTGCAGCCATTCACTGGTAAGACCACTACTTCTGTACTTAATTCAGCTCACCTGGTAACGTCAATTAAAGACATCTCACTGTCCCCAGGTTATTTGCTCGTTAGTTCACCAAAGTTCCTGTGCCCGATACCATTGCAATAATTGAAGATTTGGTCCAACAAGGATTGAATGCTGATGTACCGGCCCTGGTGAGACATTGCCTCACCAATACACAATTCACCTGGAATGGAACATTCAACAAACAAACTGAAGGCACCCCAATGGGTTCTCCCTTATCTCCAGTTGTAGACAATATTTACATGGGAAAATTTGAGATGGGCGCCATCCAGGCATCCACTCTACACCTTTCCTTGTGGAAGAGATATGTGGATGACACGTTTGTCATCTAACCACATGGCCGACCAGCTCTGTACCAATTCCTCAACCACATAAATTCCATACACCCAGCCATCAAATTCGCCATGGAGGTAGAAAAGGATGGCATGCTACCTTTCTTGGATGTCCTAATTAAAAAGAGACCAGATGGCTGAATGAGCCATTCTGTCTACGGGAATGTAACCCATACTGACGCCGACCTAAAACCTGATTCCCACCACCATCCATCTCAGAAGAATTCCCTCATCAAAACTCTACACCATAGAGCGCAATGTATCTCCGACCATGAACACCGAACCAGTGAACTCAAACACGTACACCAAGCTCTCAAGGTGAATGGATATACTGACTACACAATCCGCAAAGCCATCACCCCCACCGTGAGGAAGGAGCCATCTGAGGATTCAATCAAAACCATCACCTTGCAATACAGTGAGTGCTGATTTTGTACGTTTGCCCACTGACAAAGAAATGATCAGTCTATAATTTTAATGATAGGTTTATTTGAACAGTGAGAGACAGAATAACAACAACAAAATCCAGAAAAAACGCATGTCAAAAATGTTATAAATTGATTTGCATTTTAATGAGGGAAATAATTATTTGACCCCCTCTCAATCAGAAAGATTTCTGGCTCCCAGGTGTCTTTTATACAGGTAACGAGCTGAGATTAGGAGTACACTCTTAAAGGGAGTGCTCCTAATCTCAGCTTGTTACCTGTATAAAAGACACCTGTCCACAGAAGCAATCAATCAAACTCTCCACCATGGCCAAGACCAAAGAGCTCTCCAAGGATGTCAGGGACAAGATTGTAGACCTACACAAGGCTGGAATGGGCTACAAGACCATTGCCAAGCAGCTTGGTGAGGAGGTGACAACAGTTGGTGCGATTATTCGCAAATGGAAGAAACACAAAAGAACTGTCAACCTCCCTCGGCCTGGGGCTCCATGCAATATCTCACCTCGTGGAGTTGCAATGATCATGAGAACGGTGAGGAATCAGCCCAGAACTACACGGGAGGATCTTGTCAATGATCTCAAGGCAGCTGGGTCCATAGTCACCAAGAAAACAATTAGTAACATACTACGCCGTGAAGGACTGAAATCCTGCAGCGCCCGCAAGGTCCCCCTGCTCAAGAAAGCACATATACATGCCCGTCTGAAGTTTGCCAATGAACATCTAAATTATTCAGAGGACTGGGTGAAAGTGTTGTGGTCAGATGAGACCAAAATGGAGCTCTTTGGCATCAACTCAACTCGCCGTGTTTGGAGGAGGAGGAATGTTGCCTATGACCCCAAGAACACCATCCCCACCGTCAAACATGGAGGTGGAAACATTATGCTTTGGGGGTGTTTTTCTGCTAAGGGGACAGGACAACTTCACCGCATCAAAGGGACGATGGACGGGGCCATGTACCGTCAAATCTTGGGTGAGAACCTTCTTCCCTCAGCCAGGGCATTGAAAATGGGTCGTGGATGGGTATTCCAGCATGACAATGATCCAAAACACACAGCCAAGGCAACAAAGGAGTGGCTCAAGAAGAAGCACATTAAGGCCCTGGAGTGGCCTAGCCAGTCTCCAGACCTTAATCCCATCGAAAATCTGTGGAGGGAGCTGATGGTTCGAGTTGCCAAACGTCAGCCTCGCAACCTTAATGACTTGGAGAAGATCTGCAAAGAGGAGTGGAACAAAATCCCTCCTGAGATGTGTGCAAACCTGGTGGCCAACTACAAGAAACGTCTGACCTCTGTGATTGTCAGCAACGGTTTTGCCACAAAGTACTAAGTCATGATTTGCAGAGGAATCAAATACTTATTTCCTTAATAAAAATGCAAATCAATTTATTAAATCTTTGACATGCGTTTTTCTGGATTTTGTTGTTGTTATTCTGTCTCTCACTGTTCAAATAAATCTACCATTAAAATTATAGACTGATCATTTCTTTGTCAGTGGGCAAACGTACAAAATCAGCAGGGGATCAAATACTTTTTTCCCTCACTGTACATAGCAGGGATAATAAAAAAAAAAATTCCAAAATCATGAACAAACACAAGATCCAGGTCCGATTTAACACAGTATAAAAATTTTGTGATCTGATCCCATCTGTGAAGGACAAGATTCCTGACATGCAATATCCCGGCGTCTACAAACTAAGCTGTATCTGCGGCAGCAGTTACATTGGGGAAACTAAACGATATGTCTTGGATCGTGTTCGTGAACATGAGGCAGATTTGAAACACGGTAGGACCAATACTTCTGCCGTGGCTGATCATTATTTTAATGCGGCTGGCTCGCACGAAATTGATTTCTCTAAGACTTCTCTAAGACCATGGTACTTTGCAAGCCTACTGGCTATCAACAAAGATTCGTTCATGAAGCCATCCATATATACAGAAACAATTTCAACCGAGAGGATGGTTATGAACTCAGCAATCATTGAAAAGATGTCATCAACCACTTTGGGTTATGACTTGATTTGTGAGGCTAACAGGGGCGGAGCTACAGGGGGGGCTGGGGGGGGGCTGAGCCCCCCCTGAAATTTTGTGAAAGTTGGTCATCGGGATAACTGCATATCCGGCTGCTGCAAAATGCTGCAGGCTGCCACCTTGTGCTGCCCTGCAGGCTGCTTGAGCGGCAGCCTTTCGAACTTATCGAACTTATTAGCCACATCAGCGGCTCCGACCTATTAATAAACTCCGCGTTGAAATCCAATAAAATTTGTTTTATACATTTGTGCCGCCCATTGGAAAACATACACTGGATATCTCAGAATATTGAAGTCAGCCCCCCAAAAGTCAAAATCCTGGCTCCGCCCCTGGAGGCTAACCCCCCTTTTCCTGATGACGACCGCTTGTGTTGCAATCCAAACGTCGTGGTGTTTGTTTTTTATTTAATTTTATTTTTTATTACCGAAAGAACTAATAATAATTCTACATTATAGACTGCCAGTACACTCACCGAGGTTAAGAACCAGGCTACAGTCTACATTACAGACTGCCAATACGTCCACCAGCTTAAAAACCAGGCTACAGTCTACAATATAGACTGCCAGTATACTCACCGAGGTTAAGAACCAGGCTACAGTCTACATTATAGACAACCAGTATGCTCACTGAGGTTAAGAACAAGGCTACAGTCTATATTATAGACTGCCAGTACACTCACCCAGCTTGATAACCATTGCTACAGTCTACATTATAGGCTACCAGTACACTCACCAAACTTAATAACCAGGCTACAGTCTACATTATAGACTGCCAGTACACTCACCCAGCTTGATAACCATTGCTACAGTCTACATTATAGATTGCCAGTACACTCACTCCGATTAAGAACCAGGCTACAGTCTACATTAGTTTTTTTATGATTTTTATTCTAAAAATTTATTTTTCAACGTCATGATCTATTTTATTTTATTTTCTATCTACGTGACTTTATCGAAAGACCCAAAGAATATGAATTACTGCAGTCACGAATGTTTTAAGTAAAAATGTAATTATATATACAGTACTGCATTATAGAAGTCGCCCATTTACTGTCCCAATTATGAAATGCAAGATACCAATAGTTCTGCAGAAAAAAAGCAGAAATAAGCCAACTGGAATAAAGTTCAATAGACTGTAGCTCACAGGAAATATGCAGGGACCTTCATATGCAGTGGGCCGATTGCATTGACAGCATAACAGAAAGTTATGTAAGACGAGGCCATATGAGGCACAGAAGGTTTCAAGTTCAAATTCCAGTTGGGGATTGACTCGACTTTCGTTTCTCCAGTCAATTAACTGAGCACCACTGTGCAAAGTCAGCAGTGGTCAGCCTACAGATAGACTGGTACCCTACCCTATGAATGTGAATTTATTTACCACTGGCTCATGACTGCTCACAAAGTTGAGCGATGCCTCATTCATTTCTTATTTGAGCAGGAAAACACTTTGACGCGACTATCATTTGAGAATTATTCTAATTTCAGAGTTCTGCATCTTACTGTGAGCCCATGTGCGTAACAAAGACAACGATCACCCATATAGCCTTGACAGACTGTTGGGGCAAATCCCGTTAGCGCGCACCTATGAAGACCGGCACAGCACACGAGGGGGCGGGTGGCTGACAACCACGTGGCAATGGTTTACACATCATACCAGGTATTCAGTTGAGGCTGAGTGGACCTAGGATAGGTCCAGGACTGGCTCCGATAATCATGAATGGTGTTGGCTTTAAGTTGGAATCAAACTCGGATCCCCAAGGTGCTTGAACGCAATGTGCCAACCGTTAGACTGCAGGCACACACAGACCGCCCACTCGCCTGTGTGTGTCCTCATGTGCTCCTCCAGACGCCTGATGTCCTTGCACGTGTAGTCGCAGAATTTGCACCTCAGTCTCCCGTCCATCATCCGCTCGTAGCCGTTGAGTGGCAGCCCGTAGCCATCGTCTTCTGCGCCCCTTTCCACATCGCTGGGCAGAGTCGTCATCTTTTCCTGTGCAGCACGAACAGCAGGGCTTAATTTCAGCTGGACCTGTACGAGTCAGCGACCCAGAAAATATTTCCATACCCAGGACACCACACCCAGTTGAACCACTCTATGGCCGCAGCTACTTAGTCATGTGCCATCGACGCTCGTCTACTAGAGACCCAGAATGTATTCAGTGAAAAGTCAAGCTCTGAGTACAGAGTCATCCATTACACTGTGTAACAATTTTTTGGTGTTGTTCCTGGGTAGTAAATGTTATTTCCTATGTGCTTATGCCTCAAAGGAACATAAAATTGATGTTATTCCCCACAAACTTTCCTTTCGTGACCAGAAGAGTGATATTTTGAAATGTACCTATTTTATATTTTGAAATGTATTTTAAAATGTACCTAAATGTATATATTTTGAAATGTACCTAAATGCACCTATAAATGTACCTATTTTCAATGAGAAAACGGGCGAATTTGTGTCTTTTCATTCACATAAAGTCAGATAAAAACATATGAATCAAATTGATTATGTAATTATACTAAAGTAATACAAAAATGACTCCAAAAGATTTAGACACCAAGGCGCACTACCACAGGCGGGACTGGCCACAGCGGACCGAGTTCTCTGTGGGGAGGAACAACGTCAAGTGGTAGCCACTGGTGGACCCCCGGAAGGTGCTGATGCCATCACTGCACATCAAATTGGGCCTTATGAAACAATTTGTCAGAGCTGTAGATAAGGAGTCGGCAGCCTTCAAGTACCTTCAAGACTTCTTCCATAAGCTGTCTGAAGCAAAGGTCAAAGCCGGTGTCTTCGTCGGACCACAGATAAAGAAGATCCTGGAGTGCAATGAATTCCCCAAGAAGCTCACTAGTAAGGAGAAAGCGGTTTGGAACAGGTCTGTCGCAGTGGTTCGTGGCTTCCTGGGCAATCACAAGGTCGAAAACTACGTGGAGCTGGTTGCGACTCTGGTGAAGAACTACGGCACAATGGGCTGTAGGATGTCCCTCAAAGTCCATATCCTTTATGCTCATCTTAATAAATTCAAGGAGAACATGGGAGAGTACTCGGAGGAGCAAGGTGAGCGCTTCCACCAGGATATACTGGACTTTGAATGCCGCTAACAAGGACAGTATAACGAGAACATGATGGGAGACTACATTTGGGGGCTGATTCGTGAAAGTGATTTACAGTATAATCGTAAATCTCGAAAAACTACTCACTTTTAAATCTTTTGTAGTCATTTTTGTATTACTTTAGTGCAAATACATGTTCATTTTGATTGATATGTTGTTTTTTTCTGACTTCGTATGAACGAAAAGACACAAATTCGCCCGTTTTCTCATTGAAAATAGGTACATTTAAAAATATCACTGTCCTGGTCACAAAAGCAAACTTTGTGGGGAATAATAGCCATTATCTATACTTTTTAGGCATAAGCAATTCCGAAATAACACTTACTATCCAGAAACAAAAATTGTGTTACATAATTGTAATCGAAACCAGGGCTTCTGTATTTAAAGTTGGTGTCAGTCTATTGAGTAGAAGGGGTGTCGAGGTCATCCAGTTGGCAGAGGTGGAAAAGTTGCATTTCTGGAATTGAAGCCATTGTTGTAAGGATGATAGAAATTCCATGGCAGGAAGGGCTAAACAACGTGTACTTTTCATAATAACAAACTGGGGCACACCAATCTATATTTTAGTTGGCTCACTGGTGATCATATGTAAGTTTTGGAAAGGAATATTGTGTAGGTACGATAAGACCAGGAGGTTATGGTGGGTGGGACTTGTGCAGTATGGAGGAGGGCGAGTTCCTGAGATACGGAATGGAGTTACACTGAAGAGGCTGATGATCAAAATGGAAAGCCAGAGCCAAATGGCACAAGACTGAAATATTAAACCTTGCAGGTCGGGTATCATTTTGCAACAGCTCCGGTGTCTGGCATGAGGAAGTGATCGTGTGGCGTGGTCCATCAGCGACACTAGCTGTGATGACCTCTCATTAAAAATTAATATTTCTAAATTAAATTAAAATTTTGATTTAAAGCTTTCGTGACTGCAGGGATTCATAGTCTTGGTTCTTTCGGTAAAGTTACGTAGAAGGGAAACAATAAAATAATACAAATATAAAACAAAAATTCTCACTGCATTTTATTGTTTCATATTTGTTTTTTTTATTGTTTCCCTTCTACGTGATTTTACCGAAAGAACCAAGAATATAAATTAAAAATGTTTATATTGTCAAATGCAACAACGAATAGATGAGCACTTTGACATTTCACTGGTTCCTCTCAGAAAATAAAGATCCGCAAGCGAGATACCGATTTTCTGCTTAACGCCCTGCCATCATCCATTCAAGTGACGCATCTTGCAAGAGCCCACTTCTCTTCAGAGTCAATATGATGTCTTTAACGTGCACATGTTCTCCAATCCATGTGTTCCTCTATTGTTTTCCATGTCTCTTTGTGCACTTTTAAAATATTGTGCCATGTTCCATATGCCATGTACACTAATTCAAAGCTGTCTAATTTAGGCCCAAGATTGTGTGTGCGACATGGAGAGGTTAAATTATCCCGTGTACGTGAGCCAGGTTTGGGTTGTTGCATCACAAAACCATGGGAGACGGCGACAGCTTGTGGAGGCCTTCATCCAGCAGTAGATCGAACATGGATACAATTTACGAAAAATAATCAAGGTCGCTGAGCACAGACGCAAAGGCCCAAAACACCAAGCGGCCAGTCATAAACAGCACTGTTGAAGGTGTGTAAGAGTACGTGTCTTGACTAAAGTAAGGCTATGAGGAAAATAGATAATGGGAACGAATTATAAAGTCGAGAAGTGCGAGCAATTACTCAGAAAGATAAGTGTTGCGACTTGGAGTATGGTGAATGGAAAAAGTACGGATAAGACTAAACGCTCAGTCTGGTAGACCTCGCCCCCTTGACATGTGTGGAGGAATATCATGAGTGAAGTTCATGGGAACAATAACCATGCGGGTGTGTGCTTGAATAAATTAATAACATATACTTACTTATGTACAAAGCCCGCTGTGAGTGCTCATCGGATGCACAATTTGTATCGCAGCATTTCATACAGAGGGCAACACAAGATACTGCTGTCCATGCAAGAGTTTAAAGGATGATCATTTGGAATTAATTCAGAGTTAACATTTTTTTTTACCAAATTCAAATATCTCAGCACATATTTTCGAAACACTCTATAAAGCATATGATGCCATAGGTTGAACGGCCGGTGCAGATTTGTAGACCGATTGCGAAAAGTGTACAACAAAACAACCTATTTTTAGCCAGTTTTCCTCCCATTTAATTTTTTTTAACAAATCTCTGCCAGATGCTAAGCAGATTTATGATATTTTACATGGGTGATTGTTGTCTTTATTACATAGGTTTCTGTCGATAAAGCAATTGTCTTCATTTGTCAACTGGGGTTGGTGTGTGCCTTAATCATGAAAAGAAAAGGCAGCTCTGCAACTAAGTTTTATTTCTTTATGTTATGTTAAGATTGCTTTTGGAATGCGATTGGTATCAGCTGTCACAATACATAAAGTGGTCTACTCTCTTCACATAGACATGTGTGATTAGCTTGATACAATCTATTATATAAAACATTTTCCAAGTGCTTTAGAAGATCATTCTAGGTAATAATTCACAATCCGTTCAGTATTTGCAGTGCTTTGGGAATACTTTCTAAATTGTTTGCCTTCAGCTGTTTTGTAATTACTTATCATAGACACGTGTGTTTAGCTTGATGGAATTTATGATATAAAGTCTTGCCAAGTGCTGTGTACGAGAGCATTCTGGGTAATAATTCAATATCGGTATCTTCAACCCCAGATAACCAAAAGTCTAAATTTCCATTCCTTGCAAGTTCAACCACATTTGTAGGCTGGCACAGCCAACGCACGGCGGTAAACATCGTAAAAATAGAGCAACGACCGACACTCAACAATCCCGCCACTCGTTTCGCAAGCGCCACAGGCAACATCGTGTGCCTGCCCCCCCCCCGGCCAAAACCAAAACCTCCAGCAGCTGGGGGATACTTCCTGAAAACAAAAAAAAGAGCACTTATCAACAGGATATGATCTGCTCGATGAAGCAACGACGTAACAAATATCCGAGAGCGCCGATCAAGTTAACAAACTTGCAAGCGCACGCAGAGTCGCTTCCTTGTTCAGTGAAATTTGGCCGTTCACGATTCGTGCTTGCTGACAATTCGCATTCTTGGAAGCTCGTGTTTACCGGTCCCTTAGCGTCGAGTGCTCGGGGGGGGGGGGGGGGTGCTGAGGGGCCTGCCCCCCCCTCCCCCTCTTGCTTAAGACTCAGCTCCCCCTTATAAACTCTTATCGTCAAATAAAATAGTACAATTGAGCATTGCTGCCTTTCCTCATACACGAGTGAGAGCCGGGGCAGAATGCGCAAAAGACACGGCCAGATGACACCGTTACCCATTCTGTTCAGCATTTAACATTGGCCGTGTCATGCCCCCCCCCACCGACCCCCTCTGGAGTTTTGTATGCCCCCCACCACCATCCACCTTTAAACAAGGTTACGCAATGCAGTTTATGGGCACGCCGCTCAATCTAGGTTCTGCATTTTGTTTTGCTTGCGAGCCTACGCTTCCTTGGTAAACACCACTGGGTGAATTTGAGACGCCTCATCATTCAGCGCCGGTATTATTCATCACCGGCACGTACCGTTCATTTCGAAAAAACAAAGACACAAAACAATGGAATTCTTTGCAAACCTCTCGGGGGGGGGGGGGGGGGGGGGGGGGGGGCGGGGGGGGGGTCAGTGCTGGGCCCTGACATTCTGCAGTAATCACAATTGGGAACATTTTGTCAAGGTCAATTGCGCAACTCTACCTTCTAAAGTTCCTATGACATTCGCCGACCGAGTTCTCTTGCAAACCGCAGCAGGCGCATGACCATCGCACACAATAACATTCTGTTACATAACGTGACTGATTGCGCGCAGTTGCTTTCTTCATCGCCTAAG